CTCTACAGCAAGGTAAAGGGTATGCCTATATATAGGTATGCCTCTATGTTTTACTTTTTATGTGAATAGTATTACAACCTTTACATGTCAGATCTTAACAGGGCCTAAATATAAGGAGACTGTTCCAGATGTGAGATTTTAAGACAATTATGTTGTCTTTAAACAGAGAATCTACTGCACATATCTGATCATAAACTGTGTTTTAGATTCCACTGAATTTCAAACATAGGACCATCGTTGATCGAAACCAAAATCCTGAATTGTATCTAGGCTCATGGAACTCATTTGGCAACCATGGAGAACAGCAAGAAGGCGATTTTGGAAAGTCCAAAAGAAGCCTCATAGCATCATAATGGATCAAATATGGTCAGTGTCTTCAGGATCTTAATAAAATGGATCAGATTCTTAACATCAGTCTATGTTTCTCTAGCACTGCCTGTTCTAAGCAAAGGAGAGCTTTATCTGTTGTACATGGGAAAATTTCACTTTGTTCTCTACATGCCACTTTGTTGGTTCAGCCTGGACTGAAAGGAAAGAAGTTCACCAAGGATATCAGGGTGACAGATATTCTTAAGATATTTATGACTAACCCAAGGTTATGGATCTGAGTTAAATCCAGTAGAATTTAAATCAATAGAAATAAAATGTGCCTCTAATTGCAGCCTTAGTATGCCTTTAACTAATTTACCAGTAGTACCCATTTGCTTCACACTCCCCAGGAGCAGATGCTAATTCCACACTTGCTTCACAATGGTATAATTATTACATTAGATTGTTTCACTTCTGTGAGAGCTGTAAAACAGAAGAATGAGGAGAGGGCCCATGAATAATTTGAGCGCAGCAGTCCCAAATAAGAAAGAATAAATTTTAAGTGCAGGGCTAGACAGTGAATAGTGTCTAGTGAACTGACACATATTGTTCCTCTTTAAACCATTTGTGTGAAGCAAAGTATTTGTTTCTTGTTGTATTTCCACCAAGCCTTGGTATTATGCATGCCATTTTGAGGAGACAAGAAGATAGTGCCAATCACTGCTATAGCTTGAGCTGCAAAGTATTTGATCCTGTCTTGGTGGAAATAGGGGATGGATACTTTAAATTTAAAATAAACATTCAGCTTGGGTTCTTTAAGAAATATCATCTCATTTATTAACCTAAGAAGATGCCTGATTGACAGGCCCCACCAAGCTGGGATTTAGTATCATGAAAAAGGTGAGAGAATAAACAAATGCTGGTGCATAACAACAAATGATTAATTGGTCTTGGAGAGAATGAAACTTGAATGTAAAATGTATTGATGTAAAACTCATGAGAAAACAGAGCTGAATTTTGAGTTCTCTGTGGATGATGCTATCCAATGTTTGTTTTTGCCATTGTACTTTTATTGTTGCTCTACAAAATCTGAGGATGAAATATTGATGACTGTAAAGTCAACATTGCAAATGTGATCAAAATAACAGAAAGGCTTAGTATATTTTAGTAGACTTTATAAACTAAAGGCTGTTTATAGAATTAAAGGCTGTTGAATACATGATAAACATTTAATGTCTTCATTTTCATTTTGTTGGCTTTTTCCATTTTTAAACATTTTGGCTTGGGAACTGGGATTTTTTAAAAAAGTAAAATTGTTTTTATTAATTCATTTTTAAACAGTCATACATAAAATAAAAATGAACAATTTGCCACACTCAAAAAGAAAAAGAAAAATATCATATAAGTAAACACCTCTAAGAATATGTAATTACAACTATATTCCAGATTTGCCTGATTTAAGTCATTAAAAGGGGAAACTAAACTTTCAGTGTTCACCAAGAATTTGGGAGAGATAAAGTGACATTTTCTGATTAGTAGAAAATATAGTTTCTTCAAGAAATGCTAAATCACATATCTATGAATTCCGATACACCACTTGTAGAACTACAGTATTTTTCCATCTTCTAGGACAGGGGTCTTCAAACTTGGCCCTTTTATGACTTGTGGACTTAAACTCCAAGAATTCCTCAGCCAGTAGAGTTAAAGTCCACAAGTCATAAAAGGGCCAAGTTTGAAGACCCCTGTTCTAGGGATTATTCTTTTTGCTGTTGTTAAAGCATGGCTGATCTTTTCTATGTCACTTTCTTCCATTGTATATTATGCTTTGCATTTTGAGATAGAAAAAAATGGTGCACAATTATGGCTGAATATAAAACTGGATTTTCTATAGAGCTATTTTTCTGCATTAATTAGTACTTTAAAACATGTTGAACCCATTTTAAAATCCATCCATACATTTTTGAACTGATATTTTTTAAAAAAT